AAGTAGCATTAGTATCCTTGCTTTCCATAAGCCACGGAACTTGCACTGGGGATGTCCACTTGAGACACACACAGACACACACAAACACACACACACACACACACACACACACAAAGACAAGAGAGAGATAGAGATGTGCTATGAACAGGGAATAACTTTCGTAGTATTAGCATTTACACTTACAGCTGATTGATCTCAGTCCATCTGCATATACTCTTCACTTGTTTTTCATGACATGTTTTTTAAGTGCCCCTACTAGGAATCAATAACATCCCTACTCTGAAATTCACACACAGATACATACTAAAAGCCAATCAGATCAAGAGTACACTTATCATGATGAGCACTGAGTAATGTAACTGTTGAATCACTATATTGTACACCTGAAACTAATAGAACACTGTTAACTATACTGGAATAAAAATTTTAAAAAGCCAATCAGAAAGCAACAGTAAAAACGTACATGGTAAACAACTAAGTTTTAATTCAAAGGATACTAAGCCATAAAGGGCCTAGAATGAACATCCCAATTAGCCAAGGTACTGACAAGCACTCAACACCTTATTATTTAATCATTAAAGAGAATCTTGCCATAATTTCCCTTTGACATATTTCAAAAAAAGGAAGTAAGAGTACAACACATGACCACAACAACAATCAAAAAGTAAAGTTAGAGGAATCTAAGACCCCCATGGATGCCAAGGCCTGTGGACTGAGAGTTTCCAAGACAAAGGCATTAATTGTGAGGCTGTGAAGTATTTACAATTTAAATAAGATGTGCCCAAGTGTAAGCATTTAGAAACAAACTACCTGACAAAGGAACCATTTTCCTGTCTTTTGCTGTTTGTGACCAGTTTTCTTATTGAATGAAAACAAATTGCCTACATTTCTAGTATTAGTAAATAACCAATGGCTTCATCTATTTTTTTTTCCTAAAGCAGCAGATTCAAAGACATTAGGCTGTCCTTTGCCCTCTCATCCCCATTCCTTACCATAACACCTCCGCAAAAGAGAAACCTTAAATCTCCCTTGCATCCCTACCTCACTTTGCAGGGAGGGGGCGTTTTCAGTCAAGTCCAAGTTCAGTTTTAAGAAATTTTTTTTAAACTCAAACGATGTTTTAAAAACAATATTCCAGACTTTTCAAATAAAACAACCGCCATCAGGGTTTTCCTGGCCCACTTGGGAACCAAAGCTCACTGGCCCAAGTCTGCCCCGGGTCCCGGAGGCCCGGAGGCCCGGCGCTCTCCAGCCTGGACCGCACAGCCCCGGAGGCCGATCCTCCTCCCCTGGGAGTTTAGCAGCACTTGGCATTTAACCTGCCTGGCGTACGTGGCTTTCTGGTTCCATCTCCTTGAGCCACATTACTTCTCCCCAGATGTCAGGCACAAATCTGGATTAACATGCAACAGGGCGCCCTGCGCAGCCCGCCAGCCCTCGCCCAAGAGCTGTTAAATGCAGATTCAGCCGAGGACCCCCCGGAGAGCTGCTGTTGAATAAAAATTGTAATCCAAAGGGACCATTTCTCTGCCTCCCGCTGCTTGTGGGAATCCGGGGCTGGCGCCCGAGCACAGGCCCAGCTAGTCCGCTCTCTCTACGAGCAGGCGTGGCCACCGCGGGAGGCGGCCTTAGGGGCCCGGAGACTCCTCACCCCTCTCCCTCCACTCTGGCCGGGTTCTTGGAGTGTGGAAATGCTTAGATTCAAGGAGTGGCGAGCAACAGACAGCCCTGAATTCGACGGCTCCTTCTGGGAGCGCAGACTAAAGTCTAGCGTCTGGGCGGCCAGACTCTTCCCCGCCTAAACCCTCTGGACGCCCCCAATTTCGCCCTGAGCCCCCAAACAGGCGTCCCGCCTCCCTAAGGGCCCGTATCCTTCTCCACTGACAACCAGGCTCAACCTTCGCCTCGACGCCTCGCACCCTGTTCCTCTCTGCTCTCGCTCCCCGGGAGCAGCCCGGCTCTCGCCCCGGAAGCCCCCGGGTCCCCTTGCTGACCCCAGTCTCGCGGCGTCGGGAGAGTCTGTGCGGAGCCGGGAGCGAGACCGTCGGGAGAGGGCGCCCGGGAGGCCTGCGCCCACGGGAGGGGACTTTCGAGCCTGGCTCCTCGGGGTCTGGGAGGGGAAGGGGGCGGGTACGAGGGGTGAGGGGACAACGAGATTACGGCTTCTAGGCTTCTACTGGCGTCTTAATCTTATATATATTTTTATATTTTAAAAAAGCATCACTACAAGGCCAAGGGGATATCTGCCGACTTAGCCCTCCGGGAAACCGGCTGGTATCAAAGTCGTCGATTCCAGGTCCCCGCGCGGGTGGCAGTCTTCGCGCCCTCGGAGGATAAAAGTAAAATGAAATAAGCCGTGCCGCCGGCAGGCCCTAGAGACAGAGGGGTTAATGAGCTAACGAGGACCAGCGCTCGCACCACACCTGAAGCGTCCAGTCCCGGAGCGCACCCTCTGCGGGGGCTCAAAGCAGCCGGGCCGCACGCACAGACAGGTGGCGGGGCCGTCCTTTCTGTGACGTCCAGTCCCCAAGGCGTCCCCAGGGACCGGCAAGTAGGCTCCAGTCCGGAGAAAGGGCCCCCACAGTGCGGCCCCAGTGCCTGGACTCCCACTCCCCACCTCCCAGAACAGGGGACTCCACTCGGGGTCCGAGACCAGGTCCCGCGTGCGCCCTGAGCTCTGCGCTCCCAGCTGCAAACAGAGCCCAGGCACACTCGCTCCTGGCGCCCGGGAAGCGGACGATTAGGTAGAACAAACTTGGGTTTGCTGCCCACGGACCAAGACCCAGATGAGCTGGAGAGGCCGCGCGAGCGCTCCCACGCGCACAGGCCAACAGCGACACGAGCCCAGCCAAAGCTGCGAAGCCCACCAGTAAGCGGCGGGGGTGGGACGCACGCTTCTCATTGTCAAGTGAGGGAGGAGACTAAAATGTGAATCTGTATCCACTACAATAGCCTACCACTCTGTGTATCTCCAATTAAAGGAACGGTGTAACAGAAGTTTATCGAAGGAGTAGGAGGGAAACTCAATGATGTTACACCAATTTTGTGACCCCCCCCAAAAAAAACCCCATAGGTCCTTTATCTTTGACTTTAATAAAATAATGATTCGCTGAGAAAATGGGGTATAAATCTTCATTTTGGAGGCAATTAAAGTGTTGATTTCATTCATGCCCCTAAGCGATTCTTGTAATTTGCTCAAATAGCTTTATGTACCCAGCACTCCGGAGCTCTTAGAATCCCATTTTCTAGTTAGGCTTGTTGGATTACAATTTTTATTCAACAGCAGCTACCCGAGGGGTCCTCGGCGGAATCTGCATTTAACAGCTCCGGGGCGAGGGCTGGCGGCGGAACCAGGCGGGAGGCCCGGCAGCTCGCCGGGCCGGAGCCGGGGCGGGAGCCGCCTGCAGTTTTCCCACCTTGGCGGGGCCGCGCAGGGATTGCCCAGACTGCCTGTACTGTGCACTCGTCTACACTGCCGAAAGTTTGCAACTTGCCAAATAATAGTAGAGACCTGGCACTTCGGCGCTTTTAAAGCTCAGCTCTGCCTGCCCTCCTCTGCTCCTGGGGAAAGGAGGAATTCGGCCTCTGTCGCGGGATGACCGAGAGAAATTTAAGAGGGTGATGTTGAGAGAAGAAAACTTTAAAAGGACACCAAGACCCAGGAGTCGGACACTCTGCAAGGACCCTACAAGAGGGCCGCTAGCCAACAGTGACCATGGCAGAGCTTGCAAAGAAAACTCTACACGCCTGCCTGTCCTTTGGCTTAACAAAGGCAGGCTGATCTCTCCCCTTAAGACGGAACTCACGTGCCAAGTCAGAAAGAGAAACAACTCTGGGCCTTCACTTACGTATGGAGAGGCCAGAGGAGACCCGCAACCCAAATCTCTATTTGCATTGCAGCAATTCGCAACGGAGAGCTATCCTGAGCCCGTTTTATCTCACCCGCTCCTGAGGTTTTCACTTTCATTGCATTTTTGCAACTTCTGTGGGCCAATCCACAGACGTAGCGACAGGAGGGGGGGGGGAGAGAGAGAGAGACAGAAAGACTGGGAGCAAACAGTGGTGTTGGGATGAGAGAGGGAGAGAAATCCCCCCCACCCCTCCAGCAACTCCAAATAAAAGTCGTCCCCACTTAGCAACGCAGCGCAAGAAGGGCCTGCAGGGAGGACCAGAGAGGAGGGGGCCAAGCAAGCAGAGGCTGGCAGTGGAGAGCGAAGTCAGCGCGAGGTCCCCCACCGCCACACCGAGGGAGTTTCCCGGGGTGTCCCTGACGCTGACGCTTCCAAAAGCTGCCAACCCACAGGGCCCAGTGCACATACCAGCTGGAGGATGAGTGGAAAGGAGGGGGAGAAACATCCATATTTATCTGTTTTTATAACCTCGGACTGGTCTTATTTTTTCTATTAAGTACAATAAAATGGGCGAGCTTGCAGCGAGCACCGCACAAAGCAATGTTCAGTGAGGTCTAGAAGCGGTCGGCCGAGGAAAACTGACAAGACAGGCTAATGAACCGTACAGACAGGGAGAAAATAGCCAGCATTTGCTAGATTTCAAACCCTCGCTGTCTCTCTTAGACCACCTATCTTGGGTTTATTCCTAATAAAATAAGAAATAAGCAGACCCTACACTTTCCTTTTCTTCGAAATAGAAGGGGGAAAAATGCTCCAGAACAAAGCCCTACAATCAGAGGCGGTCACTGGCAGTTAACACTCCCATTATTATAGAGGGTAAATAAAATAAAGACAAAAATTAAAAGCGACAAGAAACAGGTCAAGTTTGCAGGCAAAGCTTTTACAAGCTCATCTCTCCAGGTCGAATCCCAGAGCCAGCCTTAATGAAGCAATAATAGCCACATTATTCAAAAATTTTCATTTCGATGGAAATGTATCTAAAAGGGACTTAATCATATGCAAATAATAAAAGGAGGTGGTAGTGACCCAGCAAGCAATATGCATACAGATTTTTTTTTTCCAGGGATGTTGAAATTGAAAAGCGCATACCTGGTCGGTTAGATTTGCTGATCTTGTTATATCTTCACTGTCTGATTTTGATCCTCCTTCTCTATCGTCTATCACCAAATCGATAGGCATTTTCCCTTTCAAACAGCTAATATACCGGTGGCAGAAATTGTCACATAATTCGTGTACCTACATTATGACAGAAATAAAAAAAATGGAAATATAATCAGGAGTGCATAAATGACATTGACAAGTGCAATCCACCCCCCTTGTGAGATCCAAACTTCCAAATAGGGAAACACAGAGCAAGTGCCCTCCAGAGACCCTCAGATGCATCCAGAATTAGGAATAACTTTCTTTTCTTGCAAAATAGAGATATCCCAGAAAATTGACAGTGACAAGATGATTCACAGGCTACAACATATTCAACACCCGTGTTAAATTCATCTGCTCCCAGGGCTGTGGCCATTAGAGAGGTGACCTGCGTGGGTGACATTTAAGGTAAACTATTTAATTTCATCCACTTACTTTACCATAAGTCCGTTTCCAATGTGTCTAAGAGAAAAATGTGAAGACACATATATGCAATATATGAAGAGATATATTACTATATATGTGTGTGTATATATGTGTGTATGTGTGTTTATGTGTGTGTGTATATATATATCGAAAGGACCAGTACTGTGGTGGTATAAGGTATATGTTTGACAGCCCAAGTCCCTGTAACATTTGTAATTAGGGATTCTACCTGTAAGAAGCATATTTTAGGACACTTTAAAAAATAGAAGAAAATCAAATTGCCAGTACTCATGATATGAAAAAAACCTGCAGCCACGAAAAGGTATCAAACTGATTTTTTAACAAAAGGAAAAAGAATGCTTCGAAGTATTTAGGTATAAGTGGCACGGTCTTACAGGCCCCAGGCATCACTGACATACAAAAACTCACAAGAAACCCCAGAGTGCTTGCAATTTAATGTTAGTCTGAATTACAATGCATTAAGTTTTTATTGCTGAGATTTATAGAACAGCTAGCAAAATCATGTTATCCCACACCCTTTCTTGAGTGTGAAGGTGGGGTGTGTGCAGGATTCACAGATTCAAGAAATTGACACAACTATCAACTCTGCTTTGTCTCTGTAAAAGGTTTAATGTGCCTCCCCCACCATCTCCTCCAGACTCCCTGCCCACTCCTCCTCCTCCCCTCCACCTCTCCTCTGTGTCTGACCTGCCGCTGCTCTCAGACTGTCTTCCAGAAACTCACTAAAACTAAACAAAACTCCCCCTCCCACCCACCCAGAGGTAGCAAAGAAAAGGGGGAAAAGGAAGAGAAGAGACCACAAAGGTATAACCTGTGAAGCAAACTCACAACAGCATTCTAAACATCAAGGGAGATGCATAGAATTGCAACTATTTATACAAAGCCAGCAAAGTATTAAGAATGAATGCAAGGCTAGGGCATTTGAGATGCCGGTTTTAGTGGCTGAAATTGTAATTAAACTGCAAAGAGAAATGGACGCTAAGATTGGCCTTGACACTAATTACCAGAAAGAAAGACATTTATGCAAATGTCTCAGAAGCCTGAACTTCAGCCATTCAGAACCCTCCCCCCTACCCCACCCCACCCCCTTGAGTTTGGGGGTGAGGGGAAAGCAAAAGGAAAAGAGGCTAGAGAAATTACCTTCTCTAATTCCAACAGATGAAACCTTAATACTTGTATGGCTTGAATCATCTGCAAAGATACAAAAAGAATGAGCACCCTATTCCCAGTTTACAGGCTCTAGCATCTCCAGCCTACCCTCCCCCCCACCCCCATAAATAGAATTATTTTGATTTATGGCAATAACACTAAAACTTAATAGCAGCGACTGGGTACCATCTAGAGATTTATATTTCTTAAGGAGAAAAAAAAATAGCTAAAACAACAACAAAGCATCTAAGTGGGGATCATAAACACTCTCCTTCCCCATGGCTCGTCCCTTTTTCAGCCCCACTGGCCCCACCCCACCTGAAAGGGCCACATCCCTGGACTAGATGTATCCAAGTAAGGAGTGCACGGAAAATATTCCAAATAGTCCCCCCAGTTGTGGCTTTTCACACTGCAAACTTTCTGCTGCTTTCCTCACACCTTTCAGGCATACTGGTGGTTTGGGGGCTCTTGCCCGGCTGCTGCCCTCGTGACGCGACTTTGAGGGCTGGGAAGTCCGCAAAGTTTAAGCACACACGCTGACAGGCCCGGAGATAAATCCCCGCGCTGATTAGAGCTGCGCTGCCCGGCTGTCATAAAAAACAAAAGCTCGCGTTTCCCTGCACCGGCTTGCCCGGCCCCTCTCGAGATGAATTTATTTCCCCGGGATCTTGTCCCGGACCACTTGTCTGTGGACAGAAACGTTTGCAGCCACCTTGAAGCTACGGGAAGACCGGTCTAGAAACCTTGGGGTGCTTTAAAGCAAAGCTGGTGGCTTGGGGGGAGGGGAGATAGTGGGGGAGGAAGGGGTCCGCTCTTACCAAGTTATCCAGTTCTGGATTAGAAGAAAATAGAGGTTTTTCTGCGCGAATCTAAATACAAGTGAGGGGAGAGAAGGGTGGGGGGGGGAGAGAAAGAACATTTGAAATCTGGTCGCTTTCCTAGTTTCTTGCCTCATTACACTGTCCGGGGCAAGATGTAACCTCCAGGAAGGACTCGGTGACACCGAGTGCGTCCCGGGCAGAAACACTTCAGTGTGAATCAAATAAGCCAACAATAAACTCAGAGCTCAGGGTTACTTCTACCAGCAAAACTACGCTTCTAGAGGACGCTGCCCTGCTCGCCAAGACCAAGGCAACTATACAGTGCGAGGTGTTTGTGATTTTATTTTATAGAGTGGGCTTTCTGCGTTAGGTTCTGGAGCGTGAGTTGGGAAGACTGTGGGTGATTTTAAGTCGTCCGCAGACACTCATAGAGGAAGAAAACCCTAGGGCAGATGTCACAGGCATGGCTCAGGGTGGACTATATTGCTGGGTACTTTTGAAAATGTGCCGGGTGGGGGAGGGAGTGTCTTTCTTTCTTTTTCTTTCTTTTTTCTTTACTTTTTAAACATATATTTTGCTGACCTGTTTGGCGAACACGGCTATATCTTCATTGAATGACTCTGAGGAGCAGACGTCCCCGCCCGCCACCCCCGGCTCGCGGGGGGTACAAGTAGCTAATTCACATTTCTCAAAAATCAGTGCTAAGAGAGGGAAGAGGGGGTGTCTGCAAGAAAATACAACAGTCACAAACAACACAATGGTTAGTCCGGAGTCAGTGAAAAAGGCGCCCAAGAAAAACAGCCAGAGGAGCTCGAAGCAGGGACCCTCTCTGATTTTGTCACCTACTTTTTTCTTCCCCTCCCTCCACCCCCCCCCCCAGGTGACTGCTCACCTCCCCTTCCTCCTAGGGCTCCGAAATCGGAGGCGCTAAGCCACGGACTGTGTCTGAGGGTCAGTTCAGCCTATCTGGCCACAGAAATTGGTAACATTTGCTAAGAATAAAACCCAAGCGATTCCAGCAGCCATTTTGAATTAAGTTTCCCACCCCGACAAGCCCTCGTCCCTCCGCTGCACATCTAGGACCTGGTGGAGGAGAAAGGCGCAGGGCGGAGGGCTTGGGGAGGCTCCTGCGAGTGGGCTCCTCCAAGGCGGCCTCACGAAGCCCAAGACTCGGGGGATCTCGGTGGCAGGCGCTCAGCTAACTTAGGGAAAGGACCTCTGTGGCTGCGGGCCGACTGTCAGAGGGCTGTGCCTATGGATCCCGGACCCCGCGGCCCTCGGAGAGCAGCAAGCCTCCTCCTCAGCTCCCTGCACATTTCCCTCCCTTGGTCAATGGCCCCCACTACCCGCAAAAGAAAGTTCCTTCAAATGTCCCTGCGGTAAAGCCTTTCATTTTTGTTTCTGCGGAATGGCACAGCAGCTAGTATTTCGAGAGGCCTAGATGTCGCTTATCTCAACCCATAAAAAAAAAAAGCTTCTTCTAGTGCTCAAGGAGGTGTCTCTCAAGTCTTTTATTAGCTCTCACAGCCCAGCCGGAAATTTAACAGTTTGGGGTCCTTTTCAAAGCTTCCCCAAATGTTCTGTCCTGAAGCCTAAACCATTTGCAGTTAACGCTGCGGAGAGAACGCTGGGGTTTAAACCGGCCCATCGCACAAGGGACCAGGAGATAAAGCAGAAAAGGGTTTGCAGCTGGGGAGGGTCGGGGTTGCCAGATATTTTCAAAAGAAGAAATAAACAGAAATAAAAGTTGCTGCACAGTAAAAAGAGGTTCCCAAATTCATGAGCACACAGTAGGCGCAAGTAAGTGACTTGGAAGGATTTTACCAGCCCAGGGTCTAATCGACTGGCCTGGGAGAACACGGTGTAAACCACAGTCTGAAAACCACACTGGCCTGACAGCACCCCACACCTACTTCCAGATCCTGCAGATTTCGCCTTTGAACACAAAGTACTAAGCCGGCTAGAAGTTTCTTAATGTCTTTAACAATTCAGAGCGAGGTCTCTCCTTGCCCACGGTGGTCAAACTCCCTAAATGCAAAGCGTGTTCCCCCTTGCCTGACCTGCAACTGTCCTCCCTTGATTTTTATTGTGCAGCGGCCGAGCCAGCATACGGTTGCTGAGTAAACTTAGCAAGTCAGAACAATCAGTGGCTTAAAAGATTTTCCCTTAAACTAAAAGTTTCGTTCCAACACAAAAGCGCCCACATTTAGAAATCCCCAACGCTCTCCCAACGGAGTGGAGCAAGCGAGGACTCCAACCCGCTGAGCTACAGAGCCAGGGTCTGAGAGGGGACGGAGGACCTTCGGCAACTCCTCCCGTAGGGCGACCCCTCAGCCGGCACGGCCTCGGCCAAGCTGGGCGCTGGGCAAGCGCGGATCGTGCGTGGAGATGGGGGGCGCCCGGGATGGCAGGCTGCCTTCCCAAATCCTCCATGCAATGCGAATGAAAAGTTACCAAATAATGTACCTCCAATCCATAGAGCTCTGGCTTTCCTTTTACCAAAGGCACAGGGAAACAGAGGAAACATCTCGTCTCTACCACTTAACCTGCTGCCCGTTGTACCTACCCATAAATGGCATCTTTATCTCTCTTTAAAGCGTCATTGACGGAGGAACCCATGCTGGGGGCCATGGCGTTGGTGTGAGCTGTGTGCGGGTACTGATGCGAGTGCAGAGGAGGCCCGTGGTTCAGGTGGTGGACCGGCTGCATGGACCTGGCCGCATGCGGGTCCCCATACATCGTGGAGGGGATGCCTACTCCATCCATGCCCCCGTAATGGGGTAGATCGTCGTACTGCATGACAAACAGGAGAAAACAAGGTTCAGAAGGCCAGGCGGGCAAATGGGGAACCGGCAGGCATGGAGCTTATATAATGTCAGTCCAGCTGGGTCCTTCAACCCAGAATTCAGTGGCCTTGCATCTCTAAAGTTGAGGGGTTTTATCTTAAAAATAATTTCTAAAGTAAAAATCCTCGGATTCTCTCTGAGTCTCAGCTGAGATGAATGGTCTTGCCCTAACTTGTGTCCCTATCAACTAGTTCAGAAATTCAGGATCCTCTGGCAAGGAAGGAGGGAAGAAAGGAGGAAAGAAAAGGGAGGCATTTTCCCAGAGGGCGGAAGGTAAAACGTGCATGTCTCTAGAGGAGGAAATTCAAAATCACAATAATAAAACGTGCCAGGACAGTGCAGCAAGCCCGCCTAGTTTCACAGCCCCTTCCCATCAGGGGGAATTAAAAAAAAAAAAAAAAGTTACGATGGGAACAGCTAAGCTAAGCACATGAATTCAGACAGGCTTCTCATTTTATTTCTCTGCCAGCGTGGGGTTAGGCAGTCCTGCAAGACACTGCATTTCCTTTGCTTTCCAAGACAAACTCTGCTAAATTATACAAAACTAACTGGCCTTCTTATAAGTGAAACTCAGAGAAAGGTAGCTTTTCATGTTCATTAGAGCTGAATTTAGAATTGGGCAATTTTCTCTCAAAGTTAAAGGAAATCTATAGTTGGAGCCGTTATTCTATTTTCTCTACTGTTAAGAACTTTTCCCCCAGACTAGAAGTCAATGAGGCAAATGTAACTCATCAGGTGTAAAGTAAATTCAAAAGCAAATGCACGTACAACCCCCATCTTCTTTCTTCAGAAAAACTACTTTCAAATTGGTGGTCATTATTTTTGTGTGCAAAATTTAGCTATTTAGATTTTTCTCATTGCTTCATTTAGGGCAAGTTCTTTTCCCAAGATTTGGAGGCACCGAGAGTGAAATGATTTTCAAAGAAAAGAGGAACTGCCACTTTCATCTCCTTAAAGCCAGAGGTGTGAAAATAGTTTGGAAGAACGCTGACATTTGCTTGAACCAAAGGAGTAAAGAAAAATGTGTCAGCCTAGTAACTTTCTTTTGCAAACAGGGCTTTGAGGGCCAGGACACAAATTATGCAAGGAAGGCTTTCTGTAGACCCCCCTGTCTTTTAAGAAACTACCTCAGTCGGGTTGTCATTGTCTCACTTGACTCTCACTACATTTCCATTCAAATAGGAATATTGGGGAAATTAGTATTGCATTTTTAAAATGAGTGGCTGTGTGCTTAGTATCCAATTAGTGCAGGGCTTTTCTAACAAAAACTTTCAAAGTGTTACCTTTTATAAAAATTCATGCACATTAAAATCACTTTAAAAAGATGAATGTTTTCCGACCCCAAAAGACATTACACTATGACAAAGTTATTTGCTTTAAAAATCTAAATACTTCTAATGATATTAAAAGATGAGCATAATCAATAACATATCAGAAGTTTCTAGCTGTTTATTTTACTTTAAAAATAGCTTTAAACTTCTGCCCCCTGAACCACTCACATTATAGCATTAGGTATCTAGCGCTTTTTGTTTTTGTTTTTTAAACAGATGATTGCCTGAGCTTGTATTTTTATTTAGATAGCTGCTGGTTAGGATTGTATAGAAAACTTGATTACTTGAATTAATTACATGTAACATACATAAGTCTACAAATGCACTGAATAAATTCTCTTGCTTTAGGCCACGGCTTTAGGAGCCTCATTCAAAAATACAGAGAGAAAAAAGGAAACTTTTTAGCAGTGTCTTTCAGCCACGTTTCAATTTAATCTCACATTTGAGTTCCACAATTGTTTTTTAATACGTACCCTTTGCGCCATCGGCCTCCCTGGCTCCCTTCCTACTTCAACTTCTAATATATCCTCTTTAAGGCCAGTGTGAAAAAAAACAAATAAGCAAACTCCCCCGGAAAAAAAAAATTTAAAGCACGGCGAAAAATCCCGTAACGTCTCCAGCAACGTGAGCTACTGGTCCCAGATCTTCGGTCTACGGGACCTGAAGCAAAGCGCCCGAGTCACTGAGCATAAAAGCGCTCCGTTTCCAAGACAGCAGCGGGGGCAAGGGGGAAAAAAAAAAAAAAAAAAAAAAAAAAAAAAAAAAAAAGCAAAAAAAAAAAAAAAAGCAGATCTTCTCTCCCCCAAAAATTCAGTTAAAAAAAAAAAGAGCGCCCCTCAGACCCAACTACCAAATCTCATGGCTTTCTGCCACTCCGGCTGTCAATCACAGGCGAGGTTGTCAACGTGGTGAATGAATGATCATCCGCTCTGTCTTCTTCTGGTCAGAACACCTCAAATGTTAATATTCAAATGCACAAAGCCCTAGCGCTCGCTTCCCTTGAATCAGTCCTAATTCCTAATCAGTTTCTCTCTTCTCTCGCTCGCTCTTTCTCTCTCTCTCCCTCTTTGCAACTGCTGCACTGGAGGGAGATTAGAGGAGGAGGGTTAAAAAAAATGTCTGTCTGAGTTTGTCTTAAAGGAGCCACGATCGATGCTGCCCGCTTGCAGTCCCCGTGCGTGTGTAAAGTGTGTGTTGCACAGGCGGAGAGGTGGATTCCGACCAGAATGCTAGAACCCGGAAGTAGTGGTGGCCATAACAGGTCGCGTCTTACACAATGCATTGGGCTGCAGCAAGTAGGCTCCTCGGCAGGGGTGGGTGCGCGAAGCGAGCTCTGGCCGCACTGGAGAGGCAGAGAGGCGCTCCATTAAATCGCACGCCCAGGCACAAACACACACACACCCAAGGCACACGCGCACAAACGCGGGCAGTAGCCCCCGGCCGCAGGCTTTATTTTCCATATTATTTTCTCTCCCTCCCCCTCCAGACTCTCTCCCCAAAGCCGACTCTCTTGAAATAAATTGGGAATAAACGCTGGGCAGGCAACAGCGGGAGTTATTTTGCACAGGGCTCTGCGCAGAGACTTCACGACTTTCCTCGAAATTATTAGGGTCTGCCAGTATTTTTCGGGGGCAGAGGGGGCTAATGCAGAAAGTATTGGATTCTCAGAACTGACCACCCCAAGTAGAAAAGTCAAACGGGGAGAGAAAAGAATGAGCAGGAACAAGGCTTGGAAAGGGTCTGCTGAGGAGTCCCGAGAACACGGGATGAAGAAGGCTGGGGCTTTATGCAGACCCAGCTTAGAGTTGCTGTCAGAGGTGGACACCCGGCCCAAGTAAAGGAAATGCGTGCATTTTCTCACTTTGGGATCTGGACACCCCCCGCCCCCCACCTTCTAGCCCCTGAGGCCCCCAGCCCCTGCCCCGGCGTCCTGCGCGAAGTGGGAGAGGAAGGGAGGGAACAATGAGCTGAGAGCCGGGAATGTGCCCCCAGCGCCTGTTTACAAACACGAAGCTATTTATGATCGCCGGAAAGCGAAACCCGACGCGGGCTCGGAGCAGCCCAGACCTTGCGGGTGGAGCCCGGGCCAGGGAGACTTGGGGAAGCAGGCTGTTTCTCCGACCCGCTCTGGGAGAGGCAGCTGTGCGCCCAGGGCGCGGCGCGTCAGGGTCGTCGCGCTGGGCTCCGGCCGCGCCGCCTTTGTCTTCGAAGCGCCGAGGGGCTCCGGCCTCGGCAGTGCTTGGGCCTGGAGGGACCCTGCGCCCCAAGCTCTTTTCCCCGCGACTCTCCGCGCTCTTCCCCCAACCCCCAGCCCTTCTTCTCCCCACCCCGCTTTCCTGTATACCCAACCCGGCACAGGGAAAACTACCCGTACCAAGGAAAAAGAAATTCACTTCGGAAGCTGAGGTTTCAGACAAAAACCTGCCCCTACCCGCAACTCGGAGGCTCCAACCAGCCACTGATTTTTAACTTTCTCCCTTCAAATACCTATTCTCTGGCTTAACAACAACAGCAGCAACAACATAGCAACAAAATCCTCTCCTGTTCTCCCACTCTAAGCTTGCCTTTTATTATTATATTTAGTGATGTTATTTTCGTTTTTATTTTTCTGCGCGCCTGGCTCTATATGCCGAGATGGCTCAGCCACAGCAGCTCAACCAGCGGGTTGGAAACCTCACATCCTCGAGCAGGGCTCGCAGCTCGCTCGGCTCGGAGCAGGATTTTTTTTTTCTCCTCCCTCCAGCTGAAACCTCACAGAAAACTCCCCCTGCGGTCGACTGGAAAATGAGCTCACCCAAATCTCGGTAGGCAGCCGTGGAGGAGGGCTCGGCCAATCAGGGGGCGCTCCTGCCAAGGCGGCCGCGCATTGGCTGCGGGGAAAATCAATTATCAAATAATCGATCAGCAGGGAGCTTCGATCTGCCGGGAATGCAAACTGCCAGTCCCGATTCCCGCCCTGATGGTGACCAAAAAGCTGACTCCCCCAAAGCCTTCGGCCGCTCGTTCCCATCGCCCCCACCCCCATTCCACATAGCCAGCTGCGGACCGAACCTTCGTCCCAAAGGGGGGTGTAGATAAGGGAAAGAGTTTTGAGAAAGATTAGGGGGCTGCTGTCTGGAGTAATTGTTGGGAAAAGGTTAGGAGCTCTCAAATGTATTGAGGCTAACTCTAAATGTGCAAACTAAAAGAGAATTTGCATCAGCTTGAGAGTTAGGACTCCACTTTTTGTTAAGTGGGCTTTCGAGGAGCAAGGGACTCTGGGCGAGCATCAGAACATATATCTGGAATCGGGTTCCCTCCAGCACACGTAGCCTCCCTAAGCTATGTCTATTCCTTTAGTACTTCGCAGGAGTCAACGCCCAGTGACGCCCCTCTCCCCCCAAGTAGGGGAGTTTTCATAAAGCCAAAGAGGCTGAGCCTTCCAGCCTCCCGCACACCTTCCCAACGCCGACACCGCACTTGCCTCGTGGGTACCTAAAGGGCTGACAGATTCACCCACAGCCTTCAGATACACTTGGCCTTGAAAGAGCTCCGACTGTTTAAAAAACGTCTTAGTATCCGCATCATTTGCCTCTCTCTTCTCTCTTCCTTTCTCTCCCTCTCTTTCTACACCCCCACCCACAACTTTAGGATCTTTAACTTTTCTACATCGCAAACGTGGGTAGAGGTTTTGGGTACCGACGTCCGGTACATCCCGCAGGAGGTTAAAGCAGGCCCGGGTATCAGAGCCGAGGGGATCCAGGTGAATCACCAACTTCTCTACGCCATTGCCTGACATTCCCACCCTCACCCCGCTCGCCCCAACATGAACTTGGAAACCGAACTTCTGCCAAGATGGAACCTCCCGGTCTCCGGAAGGCGATTTCTCTGTTTAATCCTCGGGAAGCTGCGCTGGCTGGACCAGCAACGCAATCCTTTTCCAATTACCGGGAGGACCAAACTGGGCCGGCAGCCTGCAAACCCTCCCCGAACCCTGGCCCGACTTTGGCCCTCACCTGCGCCTTCCGACGGCTGCACCGGGCGTGTGAGCACCGCAGGTCCAGCAGGCCTGCCAGGCTTCAGAGCGGCTGGCTGTAGAGGGGAACGCAAGGAAAGGGGGGGGGGGTGTCAAGCCAAACATTGAGATGGGTACATCTACGTTTATGATCTTTAAGTGAACTGCCAGGGAAATTGTGTAAGTATAATTTAACGGAGAGAAATTTACTGCGAAATACATTCCGATGATCATCGTCTTTAAGAGTCCTTAGGGGTTCTCCAGCAAAGGCTTAAGTAACCGGTTTGGAGTCACCTCAACTCCGCGGCCATGTTTTCAAATTTGGAAAAGGCCAGTTTGGGTAAAGATTTATCTTACAGTGGAGTTTATTTTGTATTGCTGCTTTTTGGTAAATTTGTTTTCTAGCAGAGATGAGAAAAGAAGGTCCAGGTAAGTCACTCCTTTTCAAACATAACCAAAAGCTTTAAAGCAGTAGGAAAACTATTGTGCGCTTCAACCATGATGGGTCAGATTACCGTAAAGGTATTTTAAATGACCTACACACAGGTTTTCCTTAAAGAAAGAGATTGAGTTTGTGGTCTTAAATAAACTCTTATTAGTTTTGAAAAGTGTCTTCTTTCTTCTCCCCCCACTCCTTTTCCATTTATAACTGCTAACTTAATGCTACTCCTAGGTCTTTATAAGATTAATTCTGAACAATCAAGGGACTAAAACACTTTTACAATGTAATTACAGTAGTACAAATTGTTTGCCCAAACCTCATTCTGGATAAGGATTTTACAATTAGCAAACAGTTATTACAGTTGGGGCTTGCTGAGAGAAATTGCACAGAGGAAGTCTAGAGTTGTAATATAGTAGCCATAAAAAAAAAAAAACCAACCCTCCTTTAGCAAGGCAGCAATTAATCATCTATTAAAAGGAAAAGGTAAAGGGATAGTTCTAGGTATCTTAGTAAACTACTACTGATATTTATACCTGTTCTGTATTGCACCTATCCCTAACTTATTTCAGATAACTTGCGTTTTTGAAGTAATAGCACTTTTATTTTGCAGAAACATGGCCTGGTGAAGGATTCTGGCACTTGCCCCTAGCTCTTGAGCCATGTGCCTTCCATCCTCAGCTTACTCTAAACAACCCAGAGCATCTTCCCAAAGATAGAGAGCTAAGCCTTTAAAGGAGCAGGCTGAGGCCTAGGTCTCTATTGTTTAGACTTTCCTTGCAAGGAGGCATTTAAAGCAAGTGGTGCCCCTTTCCGCTGTTGGTACAGTCCTTTCTGAGCACTCCCCTCTAATTTTCTGTTCTCCTATAAGGGATTGTGTCTCTGAAAAGACATATATCCTGAATTAGGCTTTTGTCCCCAAAGTTCACACTGATGAGTCAGCTCCAAAACCCTCAGAAATTAAAGAGGCACCTCTTAAGGTAAAATGTGTGTGTATTTGCCAGCCCAGAATAAACAAAACCCTGTTAATCAATCGAGTTTGGCAGCTGTGTTCACAGAATGATAAGGCTTTATCATCTGCCACCTAACTTTAAAATGCCTGTTAAAATGTTGTGATTACTCCTTAGGTTGTCCCGTGTTGCGGAGGCTTGGGATTTGTCCTTCAAGAACATTCATCGTCTGCATCT